AAATGGAGGAAGGACATTGTGAAGGTAGAAGGCAAAGAAAGGACAACATGAGACAGACCAAAGAGAACCAACTAAAGAAGGGCATGAGGAAGAGCCGAGGCAGAAAGGAAAGACTGAATGGCTGCATAACGAAGGGCACAACAAAGGAAAGAAAGAAGGAGAAATAAAGACAGAAAGAAGGAATGATACAAGGTATCAAGGACATTTAGACAGCGGGACGGGGAGTAAAGTATTTTGATACACTATTATTTTCTTTTTTCATTCTGATCCAGATCCGGAAAACTCTGTAATAAAATTTGAGACTTTTCCAGACTGCGTAGGAAGCCTGGATGTGCCGAGGGAAGAGCTTTCCAACCTGAAGCAGGTTTCATATGAGCCTTTTAACGGCGCTGTGATGAGCGATAGCTCCCCTTCACAGCAATCCCAAGGAGTGATGCCAACAGACGACTCAACTACGCCCCCAACAGGCGAGTAAGAAACCAACAAGAACACGGACAGTAAAAAACTTACCTTTAGTTTCAATGTAGTTGAAGCACTTTCGCACAAACTTGAATCCAGTTTCATTTAGTTCCACTGCAGGAAAGCAAACAACAACAACAACAAAAAAAGAAAAATACCCCCCCACAGAAATGAGACCTTTCCACAGAAAAACTGAATATTTTATCACAACTTCAGGCTCGGGGGGATAGTGATGACTGACTTACTTTCTGCTTGCTTGTGAATGGGGGAGTGATAAATCTGAAATGAAAATAGCAAATGTAAAAAGAAATTGAAGACTGTGGAGCATGTGGAAAAATCCACCACTGTGATTAATGACTGCATCCATTTTTTAAGCGAAAGAGGAGGAAAAAAGAAAGAAAGAAAGAAAAAAACTTATGGTTCAAGGCAACAAATCCATGGGATTCAGCTTCCTATGCACAGCGACAGACCTTCGGGATGAATTACGAGGTGATGAGCGCCATTTTCTGGTTTCAGTTAACGGTTTTATAGCATAGAACGACAACGAGGAGCAGAAAAAGAACAATGCATTCAATCTTTGGGTAAATTTGGCTCCGGTACTGCAGGTACAGCTGCCAGCAAGTCAGACTTAGAACTTCTGACCGTGAGATCAGACCTTATCAAACGTGCTGGTCTTTATATCAATGCTTCAATCTGATTCTCTTCCTGAAACAGCGTGCTACTCCTCCTCCTCGTGGCTCTGACAGCCATTAGAGCCATGAGGCTAAGGGCTAAGTACAGAGCAGCGGGAGATGCTGAGAGAGTCTTGTTCAATGACCGCGAAGCAGCATTGGAGGGAAAATATATGGTAGTCACACCCGACAATTGATTCAGAGGCTGCTGACTTCCAGCATGCTGTGTTATGGTATTCCCACAGAGTTACATTCTGCATCAGTACTAAAATCTAACATATGGGAAGAAAAAAAAAAACAATAATAATGGGGATGCCAGAGTGAATAATTACTAAGAGTTAAAAGCGAAAGTCCATTTTCCAGCATTTTGAATGATTGATTTCCTTTCTGTGCCAAACAAGAAAATTGCCAACATATCCAGTCGCTTAAGAGACTCTGGAGAAGTACATGCAGGGATTTCTTTCCCCTTGACTGCCAAACACTTAAAAAAAAGTTTTTTAATGGGGAATAACTTTTTATTTTGGGATGTGAGATCAGGCATGTCAATGTCTTGGCCGTGAAAGGCGCAAAATGTTGCCAAAACATTCATCGAAACTGTAATGCATCAGTCTAGTGGTCAACTGTGATTTATGGCTGTTTTAACACTCACAGCAGAACAGAAACGAGGGCCAGTTTGGGTCTACCAGAGACGTCTGGAAATAGGAGGCATCAAGTTATCTGCAGCTACACGCATTCATTATTAGACTCGTTTTTGGAGAGTGGAACAACAGAAATTAGCCAAAGAGAAAAGTGATATGTTCAGTTTTTGCATGTTTCTGAAAAAACAGGAAAAAAAAAAGGAAAATCCAGATCATTAAATGAATTCCAAATCTATGAATGCATTAACAAGCAGGAACACTGATGCATGTTTTTTTTATTAAATAAAAATCAGATATCATGTACATATATGCCTTGATGCATCCTGCAAAAAATTTTAGTAATGAACTTTTTCACGTTGTGTTACGTTCCGACAAACTTCAAAGAATTTGTTTGGGATTTATGCGATTGAGCAAAAATGAAAAAGTACCACAAAACTGTGAGGTTAGAGGAAAATTCTGGTTTTTACATTAAATGTACCGGGCTTTTCCCTGAAAACTTGCTAAACTTAATGGTAGAGATCGTAGGGCGATCATCCAGCAGCCCTTCATGTTACCAAGTTAAAAAAATGTTTAAAATTTACAGAAAAAGTTGTACCATTGGAAGTCATTATTAATATCTAAGCACCAACTATAAAGTCTTAAAAAAGCAAAACATAAAAAAATACAATGAAAATAAAAATATTTTGCACTTTAGTTGTTTCATCCTAATTAAAGTGTCCAAAAATATTTTATCCTTTATCTGTGACTTGTCACTTTATTCGCTTAAATTGTTAGTGTGTAGACCAGTAAAAACTTTAATGTATTAATCCTGATATATACATTAAGATTAAATTACACTCAAGTGTCTGTTTGCTTATTAGTGTATTTCTGAAGTAGGACAGAAAACAAACTAATGCCACACTTTTCAGATTTTTATCCACGAAAATTTTTGAAAACCACAACATATTCTTCCAGCTCACAAGTGTGTTACTTTGTGTTGATCTCTCATGTAAATCCCAATAAAAAGCAGTGTAAAGTACTGAAAAAAATATATAAAACTTGATACTTTATAAAGAAATGTATTTTAGTTTCTTTAAAAATGACCTCCGTTAAAGAATCTGCAGTTTCAGATATTAAATAAAAATGCCAATCCATAGAGTGTTAAAATACTGAAATCTGTCTTTAGATGAACATTTACTACCACAGCTGTGCTTCTAGATTCCTCACAGTGGGACAAAAAAGTATCCAGTCAGACACTGATTGTGCAAGTTCACCTTCTTAACGAGAGGTCAGTAATTTTCACTACAGGTTCACTTCAACTATGAGAGCCAAAAATTAAAAGAATAAAAATTATAAAACGGAAATCAAAGAAAACATTGTAGCATTTTTAAAGAATTTATTTGTACATTATGGTGGAAAATAAGTACTTGGTCAATAACAAACGCTCAACAATACTTTGCAACATAACCTTTGTTGGCAATGGTCAAACATTTCCTGATTGTATTTTGGCCCATTCCACCTTGCAGCTCTCCTGTAGGGCATCACTGCTTTGGGCCTGTTGATGGCAAACTTTCAACTCCTTACAAACATTTTCTATGGGGTTGAGGTCTAGAAGCTGGGTAATCCACTTCAGGACCTTGAAGTGCTTTTTAACGGAGCCACTCCGCTGTTGTCCGACTAGTGCGTTTGGGGATCATTGTCATGCCGGAAGACAAAGCCTGTTCCACCTTCAATGCTCTCACTGATGGGAGGAGGTTTTGGCTTGAAATTTCACGATGCACTGCCCCGTTCATCGCTCATTCACATCAACCTGCTTGCTTACTGTAGAGTCATTCTTCCCAGCCTGGTGCAAATCTGCAGTTTTCTTCCTGGTGGCTCTTTGGTCTTGGCTCAGTTTGGAGTCTGACTGCATGAGGTTGTGGACAGGTGTCTTTTATACAGATAATGGGTGGAGGATGGAAGAGCTTCTTAAAGAAGAAATCACAGATGTGTGCTTGTTTGTGGGTGACCCAATACTTATCTTCCACCATAATTTACAAAGAAATTCTTTAAAAATCCTAATATGTGATTTCCTGGAATTTTTTATGTCCCATTTTGTCTCTTATTATTAAAGTGTACCTATGATGAAAATTACTGACCTCTCATCTTTCTAAGCAGGAGAACTTCCCCAATCAGTGGCTGAATAAATACATTTTTTTTGCCCCACTGTATCTCGACTCTCATTCAGGACATTGTAATGTGAAAGACGCAATTCTGGAGACCATTGTTTACGTCCAACTGCGAAAGCATTTTAAAAGAAAATGAAGTTCTGGGAGCTTTCAGTCAGGTTTTAAATCACTTTGCAGCTCAGTCTTTGCTTTGTTCAGCATCTTAAATGAAATCCTTCTGGATACATTTTCAGGGGACCATGTGGTCCTGATTCTCCAAGATTCAGCGCCTCTTTCAAGATAGCAGATCACAATATCTGAATATTGTGTTTACGACACCGTGGAGATATTTGTAACCTAAATGAGAGCTAATTTTTAGCTCTGGGCTGTCTTTTTATGCTAACCTAAATCATTTTAGAGCATCCTCCATTCCACTATCATGTGGAGCCCCACAGGGTTCAATTCTTGGACTTCTACTTTTTTTTTTCTTAGCTGATCTTAGAAAGCATAACATTACTTCTCATTGCTTTACAAAAGATACCAAGATTTATGCGCTCCTGAAACAAATGGATGACTTCTCGATGTTGACTTTTGGTCTTTCCCAGTGAACATGGGCACTGTGGTACACTATAAAACACCAACTGTCTAATTTAGGTTTTAAAATGGACAGCGATTTCAAGCTGAGTGGTCAGAAAAGTGCAGGGGTGTGATCCATCTCGTTCAGCTGAGGCACCTGGCCAAAATAAAACCGATGTCAAAACATGACTTTGAAAGAGAAAGCCATGCTTTAATTACAACTCGACTGGATTACTGGAATGATTTGTTTGTTGGTGTTAAGCTGCCTTCCTTGGCATTCCTTCAGTGGGCACAAAATGCTACCGCAAAGATTTAGACTGGAACACGGAGGAGTTCCCGTTTTATTTTCATTACACAGGCTGCCCGTCTACTTTAGACTTCATTTAAAAAGTTTTTGTTGGGAAATATTTGAATGGTCTTACCCCTCAGTACCAATCTGGACAACCGCGCTCGTACTGCCTTTCTCGGTCGCACAGACCAGCTGAGCAGATTTTGCTGAACTTAGGTGGAAAGTGCTGAAGCACCAGGGCTTTTGCTGTTTGAAGTTCACAAATTTTTAACAGCCTCTTCATTTTTAAATCTGTAGTGAAAAACAATGTCTTCAGTTTAGCTTTTAACCCGGTATAAGAAGTCATTGGTATTTTGATTTTATTGTTTTATATGACTCATGCATTGCGTATTTCTACCGAAACCACTAGTTGCATTTTATTCTGTTTTGCTCATGTTTTTGTTTCTCTTCTTTTGCATTTTCATGTTTTGTGTTTGATGTTTTTAAAAGTGCTTAATGAACAAAGTCGGCTTTGGCGTGCAGGGAATTTACCCGTCAGTGTAAACTGCAAGAGTAGGCTTTAAAAAAATATGATGACTCTGATGGGGAAGTGGCGCAGCAAAAGGGCACTAAAATGTGTGCCACGTGTCATTTTCACATCCTTTATTTGTCTTTGTCAACCACAAGCAAATAATAGACTGAATTGGTTAAGATGCGACATTCATCAAGAGGCGCAAAACGAAAGAAAATCCTCTGTAGTGAGTAGGATCTTTTTTTCCTTTCCCCAAGATGCAGAACAGATGTATTTTCTGCAGAATTTGCTCCATCAACACCAAACCCTATTTGGTTTAAAGTCATTTGAGGCTGCAGCCAACCAACCTGCACACAAATACCTTGTTGTGCGCTGAAAGCATCATGTTACCTCAGATGTATCTTGTACAGAACCCGGTGCCTCATAAATGCCAGTTAAGCAGTTAAATGCCAGTTAATGTTAAGCTGCCAGTCGTCATGCTGTTTTACACCTACACAAATAATTGAACATCATTTAAACAGGATTTTTCTCAGCTGGTTGTTTCTCAGCTCCAGTTTTTTTTGTTTTTGTTTTTTTGCAAACTACATTTAATTAGATGCATTTTAAACATCCTCAAAAATAATCAGTGGTGCAAAAAGCTTTTTCAAAATTGAGTTTTGGTTGCAGATATGCTACCTCCAAACTGAATGATGTCACATTGTTGTTGGGCTTTTATGGATCAAGTTGTTCTATGGATATAAAAGCACACAACAAATCAACATCAGTGGATTGAAAAACAAGAATTTGGGGAAGAAAAAAAATGTTTGCTTACATTGTGGATTTTCTGTTAACACATGTTCAAAATTATCCATACAGGTAAAAATAAAAACACGCAACTCCATTAATATTTAATTTGATGTCCCTTTGAGATTTTCGCCTCAAACATGTGCTTTTAGAATTAGCAGAGTTCACTGAAACTGGTTTGTTTCCCAGGGCAGACTTGGCTTTTAAAAGTGGTGCATAAATTCTTAGTAGGGTTGATTTCGGGGTTTTGGAAAGACTATTACAAAAACCTAAAATAACGATTTCGAAACCATTTTTTATGTTTGTTTGGGAACATTTTCATACTGGAACACACCACATTATATCCAAGTTTCAATCATCTGAGCCAAACTGTAATCTTAAGAAAAAAGGCAATTAGTTGGGATGTTTAGGATCAACTTAGGAGCCACAAATGCTCAAGCCAGCTAACAATAAATTCCTGCTTCAAAATCAACAACTTTAATGCTCAACTGATCTTTACATCTGCCCGCATGGACAGGCCCATCGCCTCCTGGGACAAAGTTGTCTGGTCAGAACCGACAAATATTAAGCTATCTGACTTCAAAGGAAGTAAAGTTGAGCAAATGCATTAAATCACAATTGTCATCACAATTTCAAAGATCTATCTGGACACAATATTTAGCAGGATTTTATATTTTATGTTCAATGCATGCAACTTCTGCATACCAACAACAAACGGTCTGTTGAATGGACTTTCATTACCTTCAAAGACCACAACTGTATATTTATAGTGTATATAAAGCGGTGGGGAAATTTCGAAAGGGGGAAAGAGTGAAAAGAATGATAAAAAAGGGGGTAATCATGATCCGTTTGCTTTTAAAAGCATGTGGTCCAATTAACATCAAGTCAAATATTAATCAGGGTTTGTATTTGAACCTGTGTGCATTCTTGTGAGAATGTGTAGAGCTGAGAAAAAGTTATAACAAATTTAACTTTAAAAATCATTGCCAAGCAAAGCATTTTTTTTTTTATCAAAGTCAAAGAAGACCATTTCTAAATGAGCAACACAAACTCACAGGCTCTTTCCCATCCATGGCCTCCATCCACAACTTCCTGTCCCCCTCCGAAAGGGCCTGGAAAGTGACGGGTGCGTTTCTGTGGAAACGGTAACAAGAGCCATTAGGAAGGCAAAGGTTGCAGTTTAATTATTCAGCTGAAACGACGCACTCTTCAACAGTAGCCAGTTTGATTAAATTCACACATCAGACTCATATCTTTAAAGCCAAGTGGAGTAGATGGAAAAAGGAAAAAAAACGATAAGAACACCCCGGGAGGGAGCGTCTTTGATGTATCTGACAACATCCTGGAAGCTAAACGAGATAAAAGTAAGTAAGCATAAAGTAATAATAAAAAATAAAAAATAAAAACACATTGCTGCAATTGTCGTCGTGCAGAAAACGCCGCCGAGTGCCAGATTTTGCAGCTCATGGGGATGTGAATCAATTGTTAACAAAGACAACTGTGCAACGAGATGAAAGCTTCCTCTGGCAAAACCCTATGAATAAATTTAAGTCGCAATCAACTTTCAGAGTGAAATAAATGTCAAATCTTTTATACATGGGAAATGTTAGGTATCAAAGTCGCTAAAACAACTAATCTGCGTTAAATATGTATTTTATTGTATCCATTTCTATTAAGCTGAATGTCTGCTTTAACTCCAGGAGCATTTCATTACACAGCACTGCCACCTTGAGTTTACCAAACAGCCAAACTACCAGATATGTTCGACTCAGAGTCACTCTCAATGCAGAATTCAAGCTCAATAAAACCCCTCTAAACAGCACAGACGACATTCGAGTGTTTCCATCCATTTCAAGACCAGAAAGGCCAGCAAGGTGACAGAGAAGCTCGTAGTTCAAGCAGTTATTAAAATGCATTTTGTTCCAAATGGTGTGCTTTTATATAAATATGAGCTTGTTGTGTTCCTTCCCCCTGCAATCAGACAGTTTGCCATCTGTTTCCAGCGCCAGCTCATTGCTCAGGGATTGTTTGGGCTACGGTCCATTTAGCCTTCACACTCTGTCCTTGTAAGCCACCTGTTCACCTCGCCGCCTCAACCTGTTTATCCCACAAGGCTCTCGCGTTGCCTCGTCAGGTTGTGTTTGCGCTAACCTCTCCACGGTTTCCACGTCAAAGCAGAAGCGCTTGTCTATGGAGTCGGTCTTGCGGCGGATGCAGGATTTCAGGGTAAGTATCGTTGGGGCCTGCATGGAAAATAAAAGAATAAAAAAAGAGATAAAGTTGGAGAAGTGGTCGACGATGGGAGTCAACAACGGTAGGGTAAGTTGTTTAAAGAATGTAAGTGGCGACAAAGGCCCCACGTTCTGGTTATTGGTGGTAATAGTACCTGCTTTGTTGCAGGCTTCTGTTCACAGGACACCATGATCAGCATTCTCCCATCCTTGTGATATTTGCAAAAATATTTGACCCACGATGCACCCAAAGCCCCTGGTGTGACCAAAACAACAACAACAAAAAAAAGACACAAAAAGGTCTGTTGAGACTTGGAGACAAAATAACTCGAAAATATATGATTTCACATTTTGTCGTGTTACAATTACAAACTGTCTCTTTAATAGATTATCACATTAACAGCAAAAGAACAGCAACACATTTAAAGTTAGCAACAAATATTCTCTTCCCCATTTCCCCTGAATAAATATTTTGCACAACTATGTTTTACTACAGTTACAGTTACAAGTTTTTTGGAACATGCCTCCTGCAGACAGAAATGCTCCATCTTGGTCTGTTTAGGTTAAAAGTCAGGTTTGGGTAGATTTAAAGGAGCAGTATTATGTGTTTTCCAGCCTCATAGTATAATTTCATAGCACAATCAAGCAACTGCGTTACCTTCAGTTGTTATAAAACTTCTGTATATATCAAACACAACTTAAAAGAAAATTGACTTTGTAATCCAAAGTCTTGAAATTGGGGCCTCTGTCTCTTTAAGAAACTAAGGCTGCTCTTTCTCACCCTCCACCTTCAGGAAATCCTCAACAACACTGCTCCACTATTAACCCCTTAACAACATTTTTACCAACTGAGAAGTAGTTTGTGTAATGAGCTCAGCAGATGCACAGTTCCACCAGGTGCTAATTGCTGCTGGCTAGTCTGAAGGAGCAGAGTGAGGGAGTCTCGGAGGAGGGCTGCTCTGTAATGAGGAGCTCAGAAGCTTGGAAGCTGCTGCTCTGAGGAGGAGCTGCAGAGGAGTCTGCAAGGGGCGCTCTGTCCCTCCAGGCGTTTTGCACCGCTGAATGGTTGCCACGGGAGATTAAAGGATTTCTTAAACATGCATGAAAAAAGTCAAAGCAACACTCCAGGTATGTTTTTGATGAGGGAATAACATTATAACATGATTTAAAGCTATATAAAGTCAGTTTTACACAATACTGCCCCGTTAATGTAACATAAAATGCTTTTCATTTTTGTACGATGACTTGATAAACTTTCTGGAAATGTTCAGAGTTTGGGATATTGTTTTACAACTTAACCCTGAGTCAAACATTTCCATGCCTTTATCCCTGACTATTTAGATTGGATGTGACTCTTTATACGTTTATCACACAAATTCAGTCAAATGCATTTACAATACGTCTGCAATCTTCATCTTTAGTACGTACGCTTCTCCTGACAGTACAAATAACCTTCCAACGGCAGGAAGTTCTGCATCTTTGAGATTTGAGAAGGATGCTTCATCCTCTTCATCAGCTCCTCCAACTCCTCACAAGTGCTCTCATAGTGGTTTCTAGACTGCAGACAAAGACAGAATAGAACTGAAAGGGCTCAAGTCAGACGATATTACATCCCCCCAACAATCCTCAGCAACACCACTCACGTTCTGCAAGCTGAGCTGCAGCTCCTGCTTATAAGGCATAAAGTCCTGAGTCATCTCCACTGTCAAGTTGTTGAGAGTTAAAATGCTGTGAAGGAACGCCAGCACCTATCAAACCAAAGGACGAAACATATTTTCAGACTGTGGCTGAAAGCGCGACTGTCGAGGTGAATTAAAGGCCCTCTTCCCTGCGCGTGCGGTAGCAAAGAGGAAGAGTGGGAAACCGCCGGCAGCACTCACCGGCTCCACAACGTCAAACTTCTTCCTGTCCTGAACTTGATGGATCTGGTATACGTATTCCACTGACGATTCATAGAAGTTCACCCGCTCCCTATCAAGAAGGTCATCAGCCTTCAGGAAAAAGCAAAGAAGATTGATTACTGGACTGACCGCAACGGTGTAATTATTCGTTTCACATTTCAATACCGAACCAATGCAAAACACTTGAGCCACATCCGACCTCTTGAAGCTGACTCTCCTTCTTCTTGGCAGAGAGATTCAGATGTTTATCGAGCAGAGAGTAATATTTTTCACTCTCTTTCTCAAACTTCTTCTTCTTTTCCTGCAGGACGCATAAGCAAAAGATAAAACAGCACTTTAGGATGTGTAACCGTTTATTGATGCGTAAACAGAAGCCAAGAAAGAGGCATTATCTATTACAGTGTACTTCAGCAAAATTCAAATTCTATGAAACTGAAAGGAAACTAAGTTTTACTTTATAAATTGTTTATATTCATTTTATTAGGCACTGAACATTTGTAAACATTTATACAAAAAAAACAATACATTTATAGTGGAAGTATTATGGGTTTCCAGCGACAGTATCATTTTATATAACACAATCAAGTAACTCTGTTACTTCTAGTTGTTAAAAAAATGCTGTATCAAATATGACTTAAAAGAAATATGATCCCTTGAAATTGGGACTATTTCTCTTTAAGAAAGTCCTGCTCTTTCCAACACTCCACCCTTAGGAAGCCATCACAACGTCGCTCTTCTATTAATCCCGTTACGTTTTTTTTAATACATTTGTTAAAATATGGGGACACATTGAATGAGCGCTCCCAACGCAGTGGGCTAACTCCCCTTCGCTTGAGCTGAATTAACCTTTTAGCATCCATGAACTTATAATAAAAACAGAAAAGACACCAAAAAAATAACTGTCCACCAAACCGGACACAAAACATAGGAATGACAGTCTCCAAAGGAAAAATTGATGAAGACGTATTCGACCAAAACAGGAAGGACTTCAAGCTAGCATCAGCGCTAACCACAGAGATTTTATCCACTTGTACTGATTTTAGTTGCTTTCATGGCAACTTCTCCAGAGACATGAAGAGAAATTTAACCAGTTTCAGAGAGGAGGTCAAAGGAAAGCTACTGTAAATAAAATCGTGGCAAACATGAAGGAGACCAGAGAAAGAGCGGAGTTGCCGTCTCAAACTAAAAGCAACAGAGATAAAATATAAGAAACAACATCCGTGTGTATGTTATTCCTGAAGACACAGAGGGAGACAACCTGCTGGAGTTTCTTGAAAGTTTTATTAAGTTTCAGCTGTCGTCATGATGCAGCCTCCTCACCAAGATAAACCCGTCCGCAAATGTATTTAACATCCCTGTTGTAAGATTTGCAATCATAGAGATCGGATCCAGTGAAAGAACAAGGAATCGAATATTTTCATAAAAATACACCGTCAGACATCTGGCCTTTGTTAATCTTAACAAAATAGGCATTTCTGTTTCCAATAGGTAGATTACAATAGACAACTATTGTTTTGGGAGCCAGTTTAAAGGCTGGGTGTGCATTGAGCCTTATTGCCTATAGGAGAGACTCCCTCCACCTCCCAAACATCGTCTGGGGACTTTTGTTTTCAACCAAGACTCCCTAATGAGTCATTTGTTTAGGAACTCATTCTTTTTCTATTCTCATTCTGCAAATTGCTATCGTAAAAGCAGAATTAAACAAACTCAATAAAGTGGAACTTAAACTCAAATATATTAAACTAAATCAGAAAAAATTGACCTCAAGCAAAAACAAATCTTGGCTCAGCGATTAAAATACAACAATTGCACAGATTCATCCTTAAAGACAAACAAAACCCTGTTACCAACAGGACATTTATTTATTCTGGTGTAAAGCACAAGTCATTTGAAATACATTTTAGGAATTTAAATAGTCAGCCCTAACTAATCAAGCTTCCATCAATAAATCAGTTTCTAGGTTCTTTGGATGATCCCTCAATTGGCGCAGAACAAAATAAATGGATAACCACAGACATAACAGAAGCAGATGTCAATAAAGCCGTGTCAAAATCGAAGGAAAGCAAGGCACCAGGCAGAGACGGATTACCAGCTGAGTGGTATAAAACTTTGAGGAAATCTATAGCACCTTTGCTGCTAAAATGCTCTAATCATGGGGTTTCGTTTAAAGGGGCAAGACCTCCCCATCCTGGAAACGAGCAATAATATTCATCATACCAAAAGCAGGAAAAGATAAAATGGAGTACAAGTCATATCAGCCCATCTCTGTCTTAAACATAAATATATTATATTCACTTCATACCATACCAACCTTATTTATAAAGCACTTTAAAACGACCACAGCTGATACAAAGTGCTGTACACTAAAACACAACATAACAATTAAAATAAATAAACATAAAAAAATAAAAACTCTTACAGTTTAAAAACAAACCAACCAACATACAATTTAAAATTAGATCCCCCTGGAGTTGAAAGCCAAGTAAAATAGATGGGTTTTAAGACGAGCTTTAAAAGTGGACAGTGACCTCTGACCTGCAAAGGCAAGTCGTTCCATGACTTAGGACCCATGACAGAGAAAGCCCTGTCCCCTCTGAGCTTCCTTCTGGATCTCGGTACCTCCAAGAGCAGCTGATCTGCTGACCTGAGAGACCGATAAGGTATGTATGGGTGAAGAAGCTCAGAGAGGTAAGCCGGGGCAAGATTATGCAGTGATTTAAAAACAAACATAAGAATTTTAAAATGAATCCTAAAATATACAGGCAGCCAGTGAAGTGAGGCCAGGACAGGGGTCACATGCTCCCTCTTTCGAGTTCCTGTCAAAAGTCGTGCAGCAGCATTCTGTACTAGCTGCAGACGTGAGAGCAGCGACTGACTGACTCCCAGATATAGTGAGTTACAGTAATCCAGTCGAGTCGAAATAAAAGCGTGGATCACTGTTTCAAAATGCTGCCTGGAAAGAAAAGATTTCACTGACGCCAATCGCCTTAAATGATAAAAGCTGGACTTAACCACGGCTCTGATTTGGCTGTCCAATTTGAAATCACTGTCCACCTTAAAACCAAGATCTGTAATAACAGGTTTAAAATAAACCTCCAGGGGTCCCAGGTCAACAGAGGAGGACTCACAGGAGCCACTGGGTCCAAACACCATCACCTCTGTTTTCTTTTCATTAAAATTTTAAAAGTTCAAGGCCAACCAAGCTTTAAAATCACCTAGACATGCCAGGAGATGTTTGATGTAATGGACATCCTTCTGCTTCAGGGGCAAATAAATCTGGCAATCGTCAGCATAACAATGAAATGAAATCCCATGTTTCCTGAGGACAGAACCCAGAGGCAGTAAATACAGAGAGAAAAGCAGTGGGCCCAGAATTGAGCCCTGCGGGACACCATATGGCATTGAAGCAGCAGATGATTCAGAGTCTCTAATATTCACTGAAAATGTTCTGACCTCCAGGTAAGACCAGAACCATTTAAGAACAGTGTCACCAATACCAACAATATGCTGTAATCGCGATATTAAAATGTCATGGTCTACTGTATCAAAGGCAGCAGTTAGGTCAAGTAAAATCAGAACAACATGGTGACCAGAATCACAAGCAAGAAGGATGTCATTAAAAACTCTTATTGAAGCAGATTCTGTGCTATGAAGAGTTTTAAAACCTGACTGAAAAACCTCCAGAATGCCATTTTCATCTAAAAACTGTTTCAGTTGACAGTACACAATTTTTTCTAAAACCTTAGAAAGAAAAGGCAGCTTCGAAATAGGCCAATAATTAGCCAGAACAGTCGGATCAAGGCCAGGTTTTTTAAGCAGTGGTTGCACTACTGCATGTTTAAAACTAGCAGGGACCACACCTGAGGACAGACTGCTATTTATAATTGCAAGAACAGGCTGCCCTATGCTAGATACAATATCTTTAAAAAAAATCATGGAGGGACAGGATCAGAGGGGGAACCTGATGGCTTAATGTGGCCAACCACGTCCTCTAAAAGTGAGACAGTCACAGGCTCAAACTGAGTGAAAGCAGCAGAGCAAGGGACCAAAACAAAGGGGTGAGAGTCAGGAGCTGTGATAAGAGCCCTGGTACAACCAACCTTTTCAATAAAAAAACGCAGAAAATCATCACACACATTAGGAGAAGCTTCCAAACAGGCATTTTGTGGGATATTAAGCACAGAGTCAATGGTGTTAAATAAAACACGTGTGTTATGGCTGTTTGAGAAAATGATATTTGCCAAATATTCCCTTTTTGCCTCTTTAACCATGCTCTGGTAGAGACGCCAACAGTCTTTTAAAACTTGAAAAGTGACCTGCAGTTTATCCTTTTTCCACCTGCGTTCAACACGGCGACATTCCTTCCTTACAGCACGAGTTCTGTCATTAAACCAAGGCTCAGGTTTAATCTTTGGCTGCCTGGTTTTTAATGGAGCAACCGAGTCCAGGATGGTTTGGGAGGAAGAATAGAACCAGGACCAGAGCTCTTCTGTATCAGAATGGAGGAAGTCAGATGATCCACAGAGCTGAAGAAAAGCAGTAGAGAACTGAGTGGCAGTGGAAGGGTTAATAATCCGACAGCGCCGAGCAGCAGCGCGAGTTTTAACTGCAATAGGTGTCAAACTAACACTGAATAAAACAGGCAGGTGATCCGAGAACACAGAGTCACAGATTTCCAGGTTAGTCGCAGGCAGACCGCAGGAAATGACCAGGTCCAGTGTGTGTCCGTGCTCATGTGTTGGGCCAGATACGGCCAGTACCAGGTTAAAAGAGTCCAGAAGGCTTAAAAGTTCTTTACCAGAGGCTCATCAGGACAACATACGTGTATGTTGAAATCTCCAACAATAAGAACATGTTAATAGTTAGTTATAATCCCAGATAAAAAGTCAGAGAAGTCGCTTATAAAATCCTTATTATATTTGGGGGCCAGGTAGACGACAGCACAGAAAACTGGGTTCACGTGTCTCATCTCAAACGATGAAAACTCAAAGCTGGGGAATGACAACTGTAGAAATCACTGCTTACATTTGTAGTCCTGTTTGTAAACAGTCGCTGTGCCTCCCCCACCCTCTGAAGCCGGTGGTGAATTAAAATAAGAGTCCGCTGGTAGAAGCTCAGATAGAGCACTGGACTCCCCAACAGGATTTTCAGTCACACACAGAAAATCCAGGTTTTGGTGACTAAAAAAGTCCTGAAGAATAAAAGTTTTATTCAAAAGCGACCTGGCGTTTATCAGGCCAATCCTGACAGGAACTTGATCCTGGGCTTCAACAGGTCGGGAAACCCGGCACAGCGGTCTCAGGTTTTGGAGACACTGCCGGCGCAGGTTGAGCCGGGAAGTGCAAGGGCGGCGGTGTAGAGGGGCTTCAACGCCGACCACGGGCACCAAGCAGACATCAACGGGATCCAAGAAACGCCGAGGCACCCGAGAGCCTAGAAAAGATCCATGCGATGATCGGGTAAAAGCAGAACAGTGCGTCAGATGAAACTTCAGCTTCACCAGCCGGCCGCTTCGTCTTCCGCGACGACGACGACGTCTGCGCCGTGAAAGCAGCGCAGGAACCCGCAACAGGTGACTCGGAATCTCCGACAGAAGCGGGGGCAAGGATTGTAGGCCAGCAACATCAAATGACACCATATCCTGGACCAAAGGTTGGAGGTCTAGTAGTGTGCTGCGATCATACACCAGCAGAGGTTCAGTTCCGTACATGACACAGGTCAGAAACAGTACAAACATAAGCAAGCGTGAGAATGACAGACGAGCAGCCACACACACCAGCGCCATTTTGTATCCTTATGTTGAAACTTCAATAAATGTAGAAATCATAATCCCTGAACTGATCGATACAGGCCAGACAGGCTTTATTAAAATATACATAAACAGGTTAATGTGAGGCGAGCGTTACCCCTTATCGACATTATGAGTAGAGGTAATGTGAAATCCTTAGCAATTAGTTTTGATGTACAGTGGGGATATTTATATCTGGTTCTACATCATTTAGGCTTCAATAATTCAATTATATGTTGTTTAAAATCGATATACAATTTGTCAGTGGACTGGATCAAATCTATACGCTGATGATGTCAACCTCATGTCCTGCTACCTCCAATCCGGACGCCATTTAGGCTACAAATTAAATATAGATAATATAGCTCTGATTTAACTATTCACCCCGAGAAGACACAACTAAACTGTTCACATTTAAATAGAAAACAACAACAATGAAATATTTAGGTTTTCATATTATTAGACCTCTGAACAAAATACAGAAAGCAAATTATGGAACACTGTGGCTAACAAAATAAAACTGATTTCGATTTACATAACCGATAAAGATGATTGTATTACTTAAATTGTTCCTCCTTTTTCAGTCCATCAGTGGAAATTCCTAGCAAGCAGCGTAATGAATGGAACCGAACCATCTCTAGGTTTATATGGCGGAACAAGAAACCCACGGTTATGCTATAAAGCATTACAATTACCAAGAGATAAAGGAGGAATGTCACTCCCATGTTTGGAAAATCACTATAAAGCAGCAGAACTGCAGTATGCCGTCTACTGCTGTGAGGGGGGGTATGATGCAGAGTGGAAAGAACTAGAATTAAGTCAAATTGACATCCCCCAATCTCCGATGGGTGATAAACACCTCAACACTACATATTCAGAAAAGTTATGTGTTTTTATGCGTCTTTCCCAAAGCATTTTAGACAAGCGCAGCTTGACTCTAGATTTTCAAGGAATTGACCAGAAAAGGCATTTAGCTCACGCTGCGTGATCTCATCTGGAACCAACCTGGACAGCTTCCAACAACTACAGGAAAAGTTTCATCTTCACAAGCCAAACTATTACAGAGCTCAGGCACCATTTTAGTAAAAAGCATCGTCAGGATCTCAATATCTTCTGTGCTACCTGTAAATGTAAACCTTAGAGGAAGAGGAGGCTATCTGGTACATATTTGTGCCTAAAAGCCTAAAACACCAACACTGTATGTCGAAATTATGTGGACGAAGAAAGCAAAAGTAATACTGACAATGAACGGCTAAACTTCTGCCAAATTAATTCCACCACCACTAGCTCAGGGTACTGGGGCGAATTTTCATGGAAGACATTATTAGGGGGTTTTTTATGACTCATAAAAGCACATATTCTCAGACCAGCAGAGCTGAATCTGGGCATTGTTGGGAGACAACATAACAATGTGATGACATGCCACGGTCATATTTTCAGGGGTTGCCCATTAATGTCTTTCTACTGGTTAAACACAAAGAGGTCAAAGGAATCCTTGGCTTTGACGTTGAACAAAACTTTCAAACTATACATTTATGTTAGGGGTGGAGCTGTAAATCGAGAGATTGATGATTGGACGACACTTGCGTCTTTCTCCACCGATCTTATCTACCTTGGCAATGGTCTAAAGGTCAACCCATGTCCTCTATTGCTCTGCCGTGAAAGAGGTTTGACTGATAGACCCGCCCATCAGAGAGAAAATAAATAAAATATATCGGCTAAGCTACCTCTTGTTAAAAGGGAGTTGTTCCTTTCCACTGTCACAATCTGCATGCTCAGTGTGAGGGACAGCTGCAAAGTCGATAACTTGATGCAGTGAATGTGGTTACATTGTTTTATAACAGAAACCAAACTGACCATAAATCTGCATGTTTGGATTGAGTGGAGTGTGTCTGTATGCACTTCTAATCTGCAGTCAATAAGTAGCCAAAAACAGGAAAAAACATGTATTCATACTCACCAAAGAGGCTAACAGAAGCTAAACAAAATGTTCGAGAAGCTAAAGATGTGACCACCAATATCAAAAAAAGCAGCCTTTAAATTAAACCTAGGTGGTTTTAAACTGAACATTTCATTTTTTGGCTTGTTCATCCTCAGAACACTATATTTCAGGAATGTCAAACTTGTCAAGCTTAGAAATTATAACAGAAGAATAAACTTTAAAAGCTCCAGAGTGTCTAAGAACTGATGATTTACCGCAGCTTTCCCAGACTCATTAAATTCCATTCTAGTTATGTAGAGCGTAAATATTTTTACTAATATGTTAATTTAGTCTTATGTTACAGCAAGTTACAATGAATTACTCAAACTCCCCTTGGCACAGGAAGACAAGTCACTGATTTAGCTTAAAAAGTGACTTCTAACCAGGAAGAATCCCTTTATTTCTCCTTCATGACTCATGTGGCATTCACTGTACCTCAGAAGTTAGAAATCTGAAGTCTTTGCACTTAAGTTATTGTGTCCTAATTCTTGCAAAAAAAAATAAAAAATGTGTGAATTCAACTAAAGTAGCTGAACAAGTCAGTTTATTTTTGTCAGTAAACGGTTAGGGTTTGCGAAGCAAATGTATGAGAAAGGAAGAATGACTCAGAGATCGCTGCTGGTTTATTAACAGGTTTGTCTGGTTAACACATTAGATCAGCTGTTTCTGTAAGCAGCACGGCATATTAATCGTCTGAGAAAGGTCAGTGTACAGCTCAAATGTTTGTGAATAAAAGATTTACACTTCTAACAGCTGCTAGTTTGGCCTCACTTTGTGTGTCACTGCATTGTGTGCATTATTGATCAAGTTCATCTGAAGTGTTCAACTGCACTATTTCTAAATTCATCAGCAACAAATTCTCTAAAGACAGACTACACAAAGGGATTAATGGCATTGTTCCGCCAACAGCATGTCATCTTAGAAAATTGTGTGAATGTGTGGAAGAAAATAGACAAAATATGCTTAAATACACTGAAAATAGGAAGTCGTTCCAGCTAGCTGCAGCCTTCATTTTAAAAAGAACAAAATACATCTTACTTTTTCAATCTAAAAAGAGGAACTGAAACCCATCATACTTAGTGCACATAACTGGTTCACATACACAATGGTCATAAATTGGGTGTAAAAACTTATATAACATTTTGAGGAAGTAACTTCAGACACTGAATGGTAAGTGGCTCAGGGTGGTTCTAGATTTGCTAAATTTTGGCTCACAATGGCAGGAAATGCGTGTAAACATTACCATGCAAGCATATGCATGTTCCATCCAAAAACCTACTTGTTTGGTCCTGAATGAATGAGCCACACTTTGTTTTGCAGAGCAGACAAATTCATAACGGCACTCACTTTTGTTGCGCCTATCTGCTCCTTCCTGAACTTCTCAAGAGGCCTGATGAGGAGATTGGACGCATTCTGGACCTGGACAGACGAAAACGGAAACAACTTTATATGCAGGAAAAGAATAAAGCACAACCAAGAAGAGAAGAGACAGAATTAGCAGATTTGAGTTTTGATGCTAACAGAGATAAACGAGTACCAAAACCTAAAACCCTTGGAAATTATGAAAAATACAAACACAGAAAGTGTTGAGTCATGCCCACTAATATGGGAAGGCACCAAGTGTTGCATTTGTAACAATGCCATTTTCAAGTACAGATGGGTTGTTTTCTTGACCAAAAAACATTTATTACTGACAATATATCAAATGAAACATGTCAAATGTGGGACTTTAAGAGAACCAAATGTCTACAGCTCTGGGATGAGGCCTCAAAAAGCGAATGTTGCTGCTAGAATATATAGATTAAACATGCAGTTAGGAAACTTTTATTGAAAAAAATGTTTTTTATATATTTGTTAAAAGTGTCACTTTGTTCTAACAGCATGATATGTGACAACCTGTGAAAAGAATCTAGCTCCTCTGCGCCTCCCTGTGGATCTACTGTCATCTGCAGAAATACATTGCTCCCAGTCAGAAACAACCAATCAGAGCCAGGAGGAAGGTGTTGGTGCTGTCAGTCATGCTCGTGTACACACTGCTCAAGATTGTGAGTTAGCTGCAACCTCCTAAAACACCAAATCATGATATAAATCCTCATTTCATGAACTAAAATTTGGCACTGAAGACTTTGCTTGTCGTAATTTTGTCACTGCTGTTCACTGATCCCTGACCGCGGCACTGCAGACATAATATCATCCCTCTCCAACAACTTTGACTGCGTTCTCAGCTGCCAAGTACTTCTTCATATTTTTCCATTTTTATCATAAAAATTAATATCAGTATTGTGACAAACAAGCCTGAATACAACTGGGAAAGAAAGCTTGTGCAAATGATGATATCTGGCCTTTAAAAGATAAATAAATAGTTATTCTGAAAAGATAATGTGCTTCCATCATCACATCCATCATGTGATTTGCAGGTTTTTAAGATACATAGTCCAACCGGTTATACAGGAGAAAGTTGAAAAGCACCATTCCTCACCTTTGTGTTACTTAAAGCACAGAAACGTTTCAGTCGGCGCAGCCTGAGGTATTGAAACCTAATGAAAAATACCCACAAATGCTCCCATCAACAGAAAGGGGAACAAGAAAACTAAAAAGAGGAATGGAAACTAAAATAATTGCCAGCATTGCTCTTATCCTTTCTGCACAGGGCGGCACAGCATCTCTGTGTGAACATGTCCTGACTAAGACAATATACCCAAATTAACACACACAGAGAGAGAGAGAGAGAGAGAGAGAGAGCTGGAAGAATGTGTAGCAGAATGAGAAGTGCTTGGCCGTGGTGTTGGCCTCTTTTGTCCAGGACGTGTTAATGTGGCTCTATATCTACTGAGGGCTCAAATAGGATGCAGAACGGTCTTTGGAGGAAGCCGATAACCTACCAGCATCATCCTGTCACGCTCCACTTCCTGCAGAAGTCCGGCGAACTCCTGGAATGACTCAGCTGGGGAAGAACAACACAAAGATAAGGACCGGAAGCCGGAGTTAGCCGCATACTGCTGAATTCCTCACACAGACGATGGAGACACATTTTCATGTAATCAAACCGTTACAAAAGAAAACAGTTGAGCATAAACTTTGTAATGAAAACCTTTTTTCTACAAAGTTTCTCTTCACATGCTTAGGAATCTGCTTTTCTTCCCGATTCCTCGCAAGATGGCAGCTTCTTTCCACCGAGGTCAAGTGAAGGGAATAAGTTGAATTTTAAAACAATAATAATGAATTGAAATTATTTTAGAACTAATTAGACTAGCTTATTAACCTATTAAAGAAACTTTCTTTTAAAGGACTTACCTTTTGTAAGCTTTATAGGAGAGATCAATATTAATATCTTACCAATGTTAATCTCATCATCCGTCAGGGAGTCGCCAATAAAGTCGAACTGGAATGCACTGAGAGTCTGGGAAAACTTCTGCACTGCCAAGGAATAGCCTGTTAAAAAACGAGATTTATTTCCCATCGGCCAGAAAGTAAAACTCCTCATTCCATTTACCAACACAAACAATCCTAAAGTATTTATGCCCCTTGAACTTTCGAACTCCTTCCACATCTTCTCGAGCTACAACCACAAATTTTAAAAGTATTTTATGGGGCGTTTGTGTGATAAACCCAACACAAAGTAGCGCATGCTTGTAAATTGTGAAGGAGAACGTGTTCAAACAAAACAAAACTGAAAAGTTCAACAAGCTAAAGTCCACTTTGTGATGCAAGAAGACATTTGGAGTTTGTTTCTACCAGTTTTTCACAGTTGAAGCTTGTTTTTTTGGGGGGGGTTTTCCCCCCCTGTTCTCGTTTCACTCAGTCAGATTTCATGAAGTGCATCTTTGACGAAAAGCATCCACTACAGCGTGATGCTGTCACCACCATGTTTTAACTCTGTTGTGCGAGTTCTTCTCGTCATCAGAACGTCTTCCAGGATTCATTTACTTTTCTTCCTTCATCGCTTGTGGGAAATTTTAAACTGGACTTCTGATGTCTTTCTTCCTCCTATTCTTCCAGAAACGTGAAGTGAATGATTCATATTTTCAACAGTAATCCTGTTTAATATTCCACCATCTCAGCTGGGGGTCTCTGTCGCTATTTTACCACCATGCACCTCCTGGTTGCTACTCTGATTAATGCTCCACTTTCACTCACATCAACTCTGCATGGCAACGCTTCAGAAGCTTGGATTTTGATATATCATAAATCAGCCTTTCAGCAAAACGTTCACCGACTCGGGCCAAGCATAACTTGCATATTTCAAAGCATTTGCAGCTGAAGTCCACTAAATAATCCAGACTTGGGATTATTTGGAGCAATTTTATCCCGTGACCCCTGCTTATCTGGACTGCCAACACTTCCACAACACTGACAGCTTCTGTTGCCGAGGTGATAAGCCTGTCATTCAGGATTTCTTACTGGACGTACAGTGTCCGCCTTGTGGGTGCCAAGCTGACCCAAAAGTACACATCTACAGTTGGGAGTGTGTGTGCTGGTTCTGGCTCTGGTCCACGAGTATTCCAGCAGTGGGACTGAACCCACACAAGCAACAAGCTCGGAGAGTGGAAAACTTTCAGAGAGGGAGACAGATGTTTTCAGTTTGGTCATCGTGCACATCTGCATCAGAAGCATGACCTTTCAAAAGGAGCGAGTAGCACCTCCCTGAATGTGCCTCTCCCACTCACTCCCATTAATCCTGCAGGCCCCCATTAAGGCCTGATGATGCAGCAGATCCTTATCGTTGTATTATTGAGTGTAAAATGGATTTGAAGGTAAAAAATAAAAACCATGCTCACCCTTGATTGCGGTAATGACACTGTTCCCGTCTTTGATCAACTCTTTGAGAAATTTGCTCGTCCTGTCCAGCTCCAATTCATAACACTTGAGGGTCTCTCTGAAGTCTGGACTGTCCTTGTAGCAGTCACTGAACTCCAGAGGAGGGTGCCCCATCTTCGAGACGAGCTGCTTTCACACAATAGGCGCTGGAAATTGTTGTGGAGACGCACTGCCTCCGCTTTTCTATGGAACACCGCTCATATCAGTTCAGCCGAAGCGACTATAAACTCCCTGCTGCTCACAGGAGCGCAAACCATGGTGTCCGGGGGAGCCTGCGGCTGCCGCTGGAGAGCTGCGGAGGGAAAGGAATAGTAAACTCAGCCGGTTTAGCCTCTCTAACCCCGTTTCCCTTTGATGGACGCGTTGTTTACGCTTCGGTTCAATTATATCCTGGTCCGCTTTGCCACTTTTTCCTTGTTGTAGTACCGTGATGAGAAGAGCGGCTAAATCTCCTTTGGACGCGTTCCATTCCGAGATATTCCCCCCTCTCACAAAGCCGCTGTCTGTCTTCCGCCGAGGTTTAAGCAAGTTCGTCGTACTTAACGCCAGAAACCATCTCTTAAAACCACTCACTGTGAATGGGTTGTGTTTTTTTAACTGAACAGCAGATTTTTAAACAAATGTAATCACCCGTTTTACACTGAGGACGTCACACAAAACGCAATGGAACGAAACCAGTTGGCTACAGTCACACAAAAAAAACTTCCCATTTTCCACACCCAGGAGGTTCTTAAAGGGGAACTGCTTCTATAAAGTAAGAGAAAATAATGAGATAGATAGATAGATAGATAGATAGATAGATAGATAGATAGATAGATAGATAGATAGATAGATAGATAGATAGATAGTAAAAAAAATGAAATATTAATTATGACCTAAGTCATAATTATGAAATACAAGTTATTCGTTCATTTGTTTTTGTTTTTATATCAGAGTGGTAGAAATGGGCTTCCATACTTCCTCATTTGTTTCACCATTATGGGTTTCCACATATGACACAAGTACAACTGTGGCCTTATCTAGTCAGATTAATGTCAAAATGTCAAAAATATCAACTCTCATTGGTGGCCCTTTGTTTTATGGGTGTTGTACACATCTTTACAAGGAACCCCATGTATGTGGAGGGAGCTGTACGTATAGTATTATGGAAATCTAATAGTAATGCTAGCAAAGGAGAAAATTACAGTTTAAGGTATTTTTCCATATTAAATGAAAATAAATATTGCACACCTTATTTTTATCTAAATATATAAATAGCATTCATATTTTACATAACAGAAATACAAGAAATAAAATAGCACATACATTTATCTCAAATAATTAACAAAAGGTTATAAAATACTAATGTTATTTTCCAACATGTTCATAAATTTATACTGTAACATCACAGAATAGAATAGAATAAGTTTCATTAATTTTTGGCCCACCAACATACATGAAAAAATCAATTTCATCAAAGATAATATCTACACATCCTGTTAAAAAATAAAAAGGGGAAAAAAAAGTAAAGTAAATTAAATATAAATAGAAAAAATGCATTTCCTGAAATACAGTATGAATGTTTTTGCAGAAGAATTCAAAGTCAGATGCAGAAATTTAAGAAATGGGCAAAATGCATAAAGGAAAACTGTAGAAGAGGAGTGAGAATAGCTGAAAAAGAGGAGTAGACTACATGCTACTCATAATAACATGTAGGCTACCACTAGCAAGTTGATGTAAAGTAAAATACACAAGGCAGTGTGAAAAAAAACCCATGTAGAAGCTAAATTGAGCTAAATCAGTAAAGCTAGCTAAAATACAGATGATGGCATCTAGGCTATTCTAGTTGACCTACAGGAGCATGCTACATGCAGAGTGGAAGAAAACACATGAAAAACTAAAGCCGATAGCTAAAACTAGCTAAAAAGAAAAACATAATTGCAGAATCTAAGCCAGCACAACAATATGTTATTGTTGATATCTCCGCTGTATAGTGGAATTTTATTAATCAAAGAGCTGTGAAAGAATCTTAATAATTAATCAGAGAAAGGCAGCCTTGCACACTCTTGCAGATTTGCACACCTCGACCCAGTCATACACAGCTTAACTTGTAATCTGACACCAGTGGCACATCAACCCCCAAACCAAGTAACTATTAAACAAACTGCATACATAGTTACACATGAGAAAAGGAATGTTTCACAGACTTGGTAAGGTGCTAGCAGTTTGTTGCAAAATTGCTCAGTTACCTACAGCTGACACTTTAGAACATTTTCGATGCAGTAGCTGTTCTCAGGCTTAATTTATGGACTCTAATTTTAAATCAGGCAGAAATAGAATTTTGTTCATCTATAAGTTACTGTGACCTCAGACTCTGTAGTATATCTGGCATTGTCTACAGCCCATAACTAAAATTAACCTTTGACAAATTTAGTATCTTCTACCAACAACCAACGGTTTTTGTAGTGTAGTGGGCATCATGTTTGCTTAACATGCAAAAGGTCTGTGGTTTGTAACCAAACAGACAAGGTTTTTTCCCCAAGTCATCATAGGGTGTTGTAAGTCAAACAGCTGAATTATAGCAGGAGGAATTGCCTTTAAGACTGCTAAATTGAATGTTTAGTATATTTTAATGTGGATTTTCTTTAGAAAATCAATGTACAATAAAAAGCTGCCATTGGAAATATGACAATGTTCACAGAGCAAAAAATACGCTTTCAGATGTAAAATATTGAAATCATTTTTGTTCCACTCTACATGTGTACATGAGTGAATACATCACATTTTGCTCTGTATTCAACAAGTCATAAGAAAACACATTTGATATCTCCAGCAATGACTTCGGAAAACAAAAATACCTACATTGTGGTCGTACTTTTTAGCAGCACAAATGCCTAACGAGCGACTGCTTCTCCATTTTGGATGTCGGCGTTTCAGCACAGTTAAGTGGCGAAGTGTATAAAGAAAAGTGGAGGAACTCAAGAGTGTGAATGCCTACAGCATTCATGGTAATAAATCAAAATAACATCCAAACTGATTACTTCCACATTTGTAAGGGATTTTTTTCTGCAGAAATGAAGCAAGCATGACTTTCAGAAGTCATCGAGTTTCCATCTGTTTAGACAGCAATCGCAGAACTGCTTTCAGTTCGGCTTGCAATATCGTTCCCACGTACACACGGTGCACGTCTCAACAAATCATGGGAACAGTGTACACTAATCCATTAATAGTGTGTGTTACTGTTTCAAGAAGAAGCAAGATTCAGAACATAACTTACCTCACGCTTAGTTATCCTTTACAGCACTTCACAAAAGCAACCTAGCAAAAATAGAAACATCCATATGCATCACTCTCCATACCTGTGCACATCTGTAAACATGTGTAAAACATAAAGGATATTGCAAACTACATTTATGGGGTAAAAACTAGCCTTTTAAGCATCCTTAAAATGTGAAAGTTTGGTTTAAATGGATTTGTGCAGAGAGGAAGAAAATCCAGCAACAGTATATTATTTTATTTTGCAAAATTAAAGATTCCACGTATAGCATTTCTTATAAAATGAATGTTACTGGAGCATATTTTACTTTTACTCAAACTGCCTTATAAGTGATTATCAATGACTTCCTTTGATGCCGGTGTGTGTGGAAATAAAAGAAGGAAGACTATTTTTTGTCAGACCAAAGAATCCGCCATGCAAGTTGATCACAGTAAGTCAGGAAATTACTTCATACAGTGACATCAATATTTAGTGGAGTCTATTTTTGCCACCATGCACAATTTGATGGATGATAAGGGGGGTAAAAACTAGGCTTTAAAGCCGATTTTTCTAAAATTATAGCCAAGAGTTGCATCTTGACGATGCAATTATTGATCAGAAATTTAAATAGAGTTGGTCAAGGACACATGCACTAGTAATGTTACAGAGGTATAACTACACACTACTTTTAAAACCTTGTCTTTATTTTGATTTTTGATTTAAAAGACAACAATAAAACATTACATTTTTAAAAATGAATTAGTTTTACCTTCCCACTTGTACAAATGAATGAAGGTTTCACAGAAAAATACAGGTAATTAACCCTGACAAATGCTTCACTACTTTTGATTTTGTTTTAAGGTTGTAGTTAGTTAAGTATGGTATGTTTGATTTACAGTATGCTTTAGTAACTGTAGTAACTGTTTATGAACTCCAGATGTCATTATTCAGGCTGAACTAAATCTAGACAACAATCAATCAAACACACAGGTTTTAGCTGATTGATTTAAAATCCAGGTCTTCATTACATGTATATGGGCCAACATCATGTACGAGTCTCGTAATTTGTGTGATCAGAAACCTAACATAGTCAGTAAATTAAAAATAGATTTATTTTTCAACAATTTGAAGAGTCAGGCTTGAGACTTCATTAAAACCCCATGTATGAAAACAAGAGCTAAAGAGTGTTGTTAGATAATATATTTCTGTACGCTTTCTTTTACAGCTTTTACATTGGCTTGTGCATATCCCAATTTGCACCTTGGACCAGTGGACACCAAACATGGTAAACTTGGTACCGTATGGAAGTGACCTTATCATTAGTGTAAAGAAGAGCTACTGAAGAGAAATTACACTCTGACTAAAAATGCTAAATTGTCCAGAAAGAGTAATAAAAATGAAACTGAACTTGTTGAAATGTTATATGGCTATGCTATCAGGTGAAACGGAAAACCAAATTGGCAGTGTCAGCAAACTGGTGGACCCATTTCAGTAATGTGTGGCGCCCTTCAGACCAATAAAACAAGCTTTGTCTTGAAGCAGAGCTAAGTCATACAGTAGTAGTAGCTGGCAGCTTTTATAATTGGCCCTGGAGATCAAACAGAGCAGAATTACGGTCAAAGAGGAATTCGCCCACGCTCAGTTGGGGAGATAAAAATGTGGGTTGAGTTCAATAGGAGGAGCTGAAAATCCAGCATCCAGTCTGTAGACTCCTGTTTTATATGTGATTTGGTGCTGTCTTGTTGACAGACTTTTGTAGGGTGATGTCTTCGGAAGACATCACCATAATGCTGGTGTGTGTCTGCAAAACATTAACAGAGTTACCACCACAACATGGCCTCTCTTAGAGATGCTGAACGAAGGTGTGTGTGCTTAAAACCATGCCTAAATCAATTGAAGCCCATATATGAGACATTTAACTGAGATATTGTGAAATGTTCAGTCCCTGTTAACACATGGCAGGTGCAGATGTAACTTCTTGGTATGAAAATTGGCAATTCCCCCCTTTGTGTGGTCATTCTAAGGTAAACACGAACTTCTGAAAGGCTTCTTAAAAATGTGCGTGGTTGTCCTCCCTTACCAATTGGTCAAACAGTTGTGCAACATGACATCCTGTCAAGACACCATTTTGATGCCTTCTCATAATATCTGATATTTTTGAAAAGGACCAAAAAGGTAAAGAGGATTAAAATTAACCCACACATGTTACTGAGGTTGCCACAGCCCACAAAGCCTGAGTTGTGCTAGGGATAGCTGGTTTCTTGGTTCAAGAGTGTGATGAGATTTGTGCAACCAGCTGACCACGAGAATTAAGGCAAAAACTATATACAGCATCACTGTTTGACAACAACGGACATTGAATGGGTTCCTGTGAAGTACACCAGAGCTTCAGCCAAGGATTGTTCCCTCAGTAGCACCAGTACTTGGAAATACAACAAAACTGAACACCAGTGGGTGTAACCTTTTTGAACTTTCTTCAGCTTGAATGATGGATTATGAAAGCCAGAGGAAACTTAGGTAGCATCTGATGTTTATGCAGACTAGACAGACCAGTTCTGTGAAAAAGTCACTTGTCAAGTTATGAGAAAGCTATCTAAATTACTTTACTATGTGTCTGCTAACCCTCAGTCACTGTTTTCACTTAGTTTTGTATAACTGCCTGACATCTTCACTACTTTGCTTGAAATGCCATCAACTGTGCCTCCTAGTGTCCTATGAGTGTAAGTTCCCTAAAGTTTTGTTTTGTAATTATTTACATGCCCGTCTCTGCTCTGCGTTTGCACCAGATTGATGGAAATCAGTGCGTTCTGCCCTTAAGCATGTGAGTGAAGTTTTTACTAGAGTTGCTTCTAAAGTTTATCTCAATTTGATTCATTTTTCTGATAGTGCTACTGGATCACATAACACAGACAAACCAAGTTATTTGACAGTTTAAAGAGAGTTTTATAGCAATAATAACTCAACAGAAGCATTGTTCTGTTGCTGGCCACCGTTATCCGCTCGTTGAAACAGAGATTAAATGTTTAGTGGGCTGCAACAATGTGGATTTAAAGACTGATAAAATAATAACGAGCCACTGTTTTCTTATCTTTTGGTTTCGTGACTCAGTTCTACTTTTGACCTTTCATTTCTTACTCCATATTGCGTCAAAAAACATCCTCCATGTACTCTCTCCAACACAGCACAATGAGGACAAGAGGACAGACAGCGGTCCCCCACTCAGATTCTTGTGCAGAAATGAAAACGTTTCATCTGGACTCTGAGGCCGTTTGTTTTGTCCTCGTAAATGGGGCCATTGTATGCAAAATCCTTGAATAGAGGCATATGACCTTCTCAGTGCAGGGCAGTGGCTAGTGTGAGCAAAATCATTAGCAATGCAAAGTCATGGTGCTCTGATACTCGTATACACGGTCGCAGATTGAAAAAAGAAATCTGCTTATACAAATGTTTCTGGATGAACTTGATTCAAAACCGCAGCTGACGGTAAGCTCTTCTAATTTTTTTTTTTTTTCATGTGTTTCACAGTTGGGTGTCAAATTCTTAGAGAGGCATTCAGCGTTTTCGATCGGTTTATCGTATTCTGTCGCATCACATAAATTAGATTGAAACTGAAATTGAATGCGGTTGTATGAAAACTAGTCTGTTTTGAAATATGTTTCGTATGTTTTATGTAAAAACATCAACCGAGACTTGAATGACAAATAAGGTTTTTGTTTTTTTTGGAAAACTTTTTGGTTTTTTCAGTTTTCAACAAACTTTATAAGTGATCTTAAGGCTTCAGTTGTTGTAACCAAAGGTTCCCTGTTACACTGGGCACAGGTGCCCACCCTGCATCATGACGTCTTGTTAACATGTGTCACATGATGCATGATGCCGGGCGTCTGTGTTGCTCTTAAGTGAGCGGCCAACTTCACAGGGGGGACAGAGAGGTTTCCTCCCTCCTCTGGATCCACATCCATGCCAAACCAGCAGGTCAACTTTTGTTCTCCACACTGCCTCCTATGCCTCTGACACCTCCAGCGGAGCCTGGTAACAACTCTGACATTCATACCTGGGCCGGGGTTTGATGCATTTTATGATGGATGACTGATGAGCAGACTATATAAATTTAAATCCTGAAATTCTTTTAGAGAAAACATTGTGATCAATTGAAGTTCATTTTTGCTGTACAATGCAGATTAACGCTTAAGTTGTAACTTTTAACTGAAGGTGCATGTTTGTTTATGAGTCTGTTTTTTTAATGGCACATTCCTATTCCCTAAATCCATCTGACATCTTAGCACGGTTATCCTTGAAGGGGGTCTGGTGCCTAGCGACTAGCGATCATCAGGTGAGAGGCAGGGTCGCCAGCCCACCGCAGAATATTTATTAAAATAAATTAATGATGTCAAAACACCTTTAAAACCTGGATTTTAATTTTTTATTATTTTTTTTTTTCATTCAAAAGAACCCTGAACAACTTAAATTAAAAATGCCGGATTGGAAAAAGGTTTGAAACATACCATATTTTAAGATTTTATGCAAACTTACTTATTCGGTCTTCTTTACAGCGCCTGTCAAATGTCTGATTTAAATCACAACCCTGTTGTCATCTAGAAAATCCCTAATACTTTTTTTATTTTATTTGAAAACTGTCCTAAATATACAGCAAATATCAATGTTTTAAGTGATCAATTATAGAAGATAGAAATTGTGATGTAAAACAAGGAAATATTTTCTGCTTTTTCACTGGAATTCAGGATTTAATCCGTCTTTGTTTAGATAATAAAAAAAAAGTGTCGACAGATTCAATAATGAGGGCGCTATCTAACATCGAACGCTCCAAATAAAAATCTAATTCAGTAAGCGTTCATAGGATCTCAAATGTATTTCTTTTTGAGATTATTTTCAGATTTGCTTGTGGAAAAATCTATAACAGTTTATAATTCTATACAAATTTGTATCTCCTAAAAATTTTCAACTTGAAAATGTCATTAAAAGAGAAAAAACACCAACCATAATTATACAATACAATAATTAGCTGATCATAGTAACACTGCACATAACAAGAAACTTTTCGTTATTGGTACTAAATTACACAACCCTGAGGTCACCGTGTATAACGGGTTTTAAAGGGTCGGTGACCCGCCAGCTTCAGATGTGTCTCTTCTCCAACACAGCTCCTTCAAATGATCCAACAACCTCTTTGTTCTGCAGAGGCTTGCTGCTTACCTATCATTGGATGTGTTGAACCAGGGACTGAACTGAAACGTGCAGGACGCTGGTCCATAAAGACTGACTTTGGACACCACTCAGCCAAAATTAACCAATAAAACAAAAGGTTAGGTTGAGTTTAACCTACAAAATTACAGACAATGGAAACAATTTATATACATTTTTGAGGTTAATTTTAAGCAATAATTCATTGTAAAAATTATGTTGTGAAATGTATTAAATTCTGACAATTGTTTTAATTGCTCTTGTTTTTCCAAGTTAGTTAAATTTTCATTGGCACAACCTCTGGAAAAAGGTAATAGTTTGCAACTAAGATGTAGAATTACCAAAACGGTACAAAAAAAAACAACTTTTAAATATTTCTAAAAGTTGTACATGCAAACATTTTTACCTTAAAATCCACAACTACCTCGGTGTTAAAGGTATTAGCAATAGCAGAATCGCTAAATTAATCAAAGCTTGCTCCAACCAATCTCAAATTATCCAGCACACAAACCTCATGTAATACAAGTCCAATTACAGTTTTTAACTTTTACTAGAAAGGTTTCATTCTCTCTTCGCTGCTTGTTTTTGACTCATATTCTGGGCAGAACCGTGTTGCTGTGATGAGACGAAGAAATATGAAGGTAGTGCGGTGCTGTGGGAGAGACATGTAAAGACTTACAGGGATGTCTGCTCTTAAATTTTTATGAAGTATGAAACGTCTTTGCTGCATTAATTTTTTTGTTTTCACAGAGTAGAAGCTGTCTGCTGTTAGGAAGTATGCATCGGCCTTAGATTTGTTTAAGTAGGAATTACGTGGAAAAAAAAAGTTAGATTAGCTATTTGCTGAGCATTATATCTACAAACATGAGTAAAATAAAATTAATAAAGAGCTGCACTTCAAAAAAACTTTTATTTTGAAAAGTGTGCTGAACAGAAGTTAATTTCATTACACAGTGTGACATTTAGTTTCACATAATGAAAAAAAAACACAATAAAATTCATATTTTATCTGCATTTAACTCTTCTACAACATTTTTCTCTGAGATGCTTTGATGTTTATTCCAATGTTTTCTTTTCACTTGTTGCGTTTTTCCTTTTTAAAATACACGTCATAAAATTTTACTGAAAACATTTATTTGCCTTTTTTTCCCATGATTTTATCACTTCTCCAGTGTGTCCCCATTCTGTTATGGTTAAAATAATGTTTCTTAGTCATCTCCAACTACGCTCATTTGCAGTCCTGTGGTTCTGTGAGTGGGTGTGATTTTATGAACGTGGATCATCAGAAGCTGGCGGTTTCATCAAATGTTTACATCTTAATTGCTTGTTTTTGTGTCGATGCTGACTAAAATGCATTTCGTACATATTTTTGAGTTGTTTTTCACAGATGCTTTTCATTTGTTGACCTTTTGCTATGCTTTTTTTCATTATTATTGCTACAGACCCGGAACCAAAAATGAACTGGGCATCCTTTTATGCTGTGGTTAGCGGCGTTAACAGACACTCCACTGGCATCGGCCGCATCTGGCTCTCTGTCTTGTTCATATTCCGCATCCTGGTCCTGGTGGTTGCGGCTGAGACCGTGTGGGGCGACGAGAAGTCCGGCTTCACTTGCAACACCCAGCAGCCTGGCTGCAACAGTGTCTGCTATGACCACTTCTTCCCCATCTCTCACATCCGCCTGTGGGCCCTCCAGCTCATCCTGGTTTCCACCCCGGCCCTCCTGGTGGCCATGCACGTGGCCCACCGCCGGCACGTCGACAAAAGGCTCTACAAACTGTCGGGGCGAACCAATCCCAAAGACCTGGAGCAGATTAAGACCCAGAAGATGAAAATCACAGGGGCTCTGTGGTGGACTTACGTCATCAGCCTGTTGTTCCGTATTGTCTTTGAGGTCATTTTTATGTTTCTGTTCTACATGATTTATCCCGGTTACAAGATGATCCGGCTGGTGAAGTGTGACTCGTACCCGTGCCCCAACACGGTGGACTGTTTTGTTTCGAGGCCCACGGAGAAAACGGTCTTCACCGTCTTCATGCTGGCCGTGTCTGGGGTTTGTATCCTGCTCAACATCGCAGAAGTGGCATTCCTGGTAGGGAAAGCCTGCGGTAAGCATCTGCACAGTGCTGGAGACTCGACTATGGGAGCTTGGATACAACATAAACTTCGTTCATTCTAACCAACGCACAGATAGTTTAAAACTGGTGAGAATCAAAGGAATAGTTTAATGAGAAACATCTGGTTTCAGCCTCAAAGAGGGAAATTTAGACAATTTATTGTGCCAGCAATTCAAGAGTTCAAAGATATTCTGTCACAAATAATAAAAATAATAATAACATTAATTAACTGTTGCATTGCAAAGATGTGCCTGCACCACGGTCGGTATCATTATTAACGTTATTTAATGTTATTTATTAAATTATTTATTGGAATCTGTATTAATTTTAAAAGGGAAAATATCTGACGACTTGAACGTAACATGTTAAGAATTACACCTTTGTGGTGAAGAAAAGTAATGACTTTAACCATTGTTTGCACTAAAGTGACTTTCAATGCTGATCACATTTCCAAATAAAGGTAGCAGAAGGTAATAATGAGAAGAAATACACTTGAATAGCAAATTTTTGCTCTGTTTATTGCTGACTGCTAAACCCAGAATTCAAATTTAATGTTTCTTTTTTTTTTTTTTTTTTTTTTTTTTTTTTTTTTTTTTTTTTGTAGTGGTGTCATCACTGGCCAAGCACAACAGAATAAATTCAAAGTGTGTACTTGTGTTATTTCACTGGCTGGAAGTTTGTTTTTTTCTTTTTTTTCCCTTCTAGCAACCTCAAAGAAATGTATTTTACTGAGAGTTTATTGACTAGACCAAGTTGTGCGCAACTGAGATAAATTACAATGTAATGTCAATAAGTTGATTTCATGTTTTGTAACCAATCGTAGCATCTGTGAACATCACTAAGTTTTTTCAACCACTGACTCTACATTTGATTGAGTTCTGAACTTTGACTGGGCCATTATAACATCTAAACAGCTTCAGCTGCACATTTAGGCTCATGGTGAACCTTTGCCTGAGTCTCAAGTTTTTAACAAGTTGTCTAACAGGATCATCCTAAAAATGTCAAGAGTCCTAAATACCCTCATGGAGCAATTAAAGTAGCTATCACCTGGGTGTTTAAAGTTTAAATAAGCGGAGTCAGTGTATTTTCTCCCTAAATAAAGTTGTAATACCAAATTTAACCACAGGGTATCAGTCTTCCCAAAGTTAAAACTGATCTGTGCTCCTTTCAGCTGCAACCAGATCGATACAGAGAAGAAAAAGAGAAAGCCCTGGATGAAACTTTAACACATTTAGCAACTTCTTCACCGAGTTTAGGCAGCTCCCATGTTGCCACCTGTGAGCAAGCGTCTCAGTTTGCTGTCGTCCTCATAATTAGCTGAGTCCAGGGTCCTGAGGTTATCAATAGCCGCCCCATGTAAGGGGGTCAGTGTGTGTGTGTCACAATGAGTGACCCTGAGGACAGCTGGGTCTGAAAAGGGGGCGCTATCTTTTTATGGAACATGCCAAAACCTCCCCATCTATTAGGTCCGTATTAATGAGAAACACTGAACCAGTGGGATTCTACAAGTAGAAGCAAAAATTCCCCCTGTAAAGCAGAATACCTAATTAAACAGGTAAAAAAAAAAAAAAAAAAAAAAGAAAATAAGTTTTTGAAGTAATGACATACTTTATTATTGGGATCTGACCCTTTTGGCTGAAAGTTGTTAAATTGGCTACAGTTAAA